TGTGACCCAGTTATTATTTTTACTGTGAGGGAGGATGAGGAGGCTGACTGACTGACCCACCCACCCACTCACTGACCCATTCACCACTGACCCACCCACTCACTCCCACCCCACCACTGACCCACCCACCACTGACCCACCTACTCACTGACCCATTCACTCACTGACCCACCCACCACTGACCCACTTCACTGACCCACCCACTCACTGACCCACCCACTCACTGACCCACCCACTCACTGACCCATTCACTCACTGACCCACCCACTCACTGACCCACCCACTCACTGACCCACCCACCACTGACTACCCACCCACACTACTCACTCACTCCACTCACTGACCCACCCACTCACCCACCCACCCACACTGACCCACCCACCACTGACCCACCCACTCACTGACCCACCTACTCACTGACCCACCTACTCACTGACCCACCCACTCACTGACCCACCCACCACTCACACTGACCCACCCACTCACTGACCCACCCACTCACTGACCCACCCACTCACTGACCCACCCACTCACCCACCCACTCACTGACCCACCCACTCACTGACCCACCTACTCACTGACCCACTGACAGACTTTATCCACCTGTCCCTTCAACACAAGACCCTCATATCATCTTCACTACCACAGCTCAGGGGCCTCTACCTGGTTACCATTGTTCATACAGACAACACTAACCAATCCAAACAGGAAAAAAAAAAAATATAATTGTCATTTTATCAATATTTTTAAAAACTATCGTCTCTTCTCTTTTCTTTTAGCTCTGTATTTTTTTTTTAGTTATAGTTAATAGAAAAGTCAATTAGTATTTGTGTTATTATTCTTTTATTATCTTTATTTCCTTCTCTTCTCGTCTTTATTATCAGGCTTTTGTATTATTTTCATCAATGATTTTTAATTTATTCTCAAAATTTGGAAGAATTGGAAAAACAAAAATTCGAACTGTTTATTGCAATTAACAGCGAGCATCTGGCCTGAAAGACTGAGTGTGTGGGGGGTGGGGGTGGATGGGGTGTGGAGACAAGAGGGGGTGTGGGGTGGAGGAGGAGGAGGAGTTTGTGGGATTGAGGAGGTGGGATGGGGGGGTGGAGAGTGTGGGAGTGTCTGTGTGGGTGTTAGTCTCGCAGTTTTTATTGTACCGAGATAACAGTGGATTGACTCGCTGCCTCTAGCTAGTGGCATTTACTGTAAAATAAAAATTATTACTACTACTACTACTACTACTACTACTACTAATAATAATAATAATAATAATAATAATAGCAGTAGTAATAGTAGCAGTAGTAAGAAGAACAAAGACAACAACAACAACAAACAGTGATCGTAGATAATAACAACGATAATAACAATAGTTTAAACCACCAAAACCCGACACACGAGCAGTAACCAGCGACTCTGAAGTTACCTTAAGTATTTTACTACAGAAACAAATAATTGGTTTAATTATCCTCTAACGAGCCGCTAATTAATTATCAATCTTCAAGTCACTGAATAAGTTCTTGATGGCTACAGGTATATAATTATACCTTTTCTGGGAACTTATTAGTAATTAGACTCATAGCTTCTACTAGAACTACAGTGTGTGTGTGTGTGTGTGTGTGTGTGTGTGTGTGTGTGTGTTACTGGCTGGTGGTGGTGTATGTCAATGTATCACCTGACAGAACCAAAGGCACACAGCATAATATTTAAGTATTCTCAGACACAGAAAAATTTGACAAAACCCAAGACCTTCTGAAATACAGTTAATGTCAAAATCTTTTCTTGTTTCCGAAAAAAATATAATACCCGCGATTCCACCTTGTTTACCTCTCTCTCTCTCTCTCTCTCTCTCTCTCTCTCTCTCTCTCTCTCTCTCTCTCTCTCTCTAGTCAGGTGGTATAATGATTGACTTACATCACATCAATAATTAGTAAGTTACCTGTTCTACCTCTCTGTTTCTCCCTAGTTTATCTATTGTGACATGTTGACACAATTTTGCTGATGGTGAGGTTAAGACAATCTATTTTTTTACTCTTTTTATAACAACAATTTATCCGAAGTAACTTAATCTAACCTAATCCCAAGTAATTTAACCTAACCTAATCCAAAGTAACTTAATCTAACCTAATCCCAAGTAATTTAACCTAACCTAATCCAAAGTAACTTAATCTAACCTAATCCCAAGTAATTTAACCTAACCTAATCCAAAGTAACTTAACCTAATCTTTGTGAGCAGCGAGAACAAACATGTATAACTAAGCCACTGTAACGAGATAGGACACACTGTAAGGCCACATCTCAAAGGTATATCGACACTATAATCTTGTCATGACACCTGTTGGAGAGATCTTACTAACAGCGTAAAACCGAGAAATATTTTACCTTTATCTTGACGAATATAACATAACACGACCCAAATCCTCCACTATTTACACTCCAATGGTGATGTTTTTCCCTCGAGTGTGGATGAGAGAACGGGATCAAATCATTGTGTTATTTCAAAACCAATTTGGGTTGTATTATTGACCCGTAGATACATAATTATAACTATTTACAGTACAGGTTAGATACATAATTATAACTATTTACAGTACAGGTTAGATACATAATTATAACTATTTACAGTACAGGTAGATACATAATTATAACTATTTACAGTACAGGGATGATTTAATGTACGGATCTCTGAGAACACGAGAGGTAATAAAGGTTTGATGAGCAGTCATGGTTTTGGTGTGGAGATGTGAGGTTAGTTTAGCCTCCCTCAGTCTGGCCTCCCTCAGTCTGGCCTCCGTCAGTCTGGCCTCCCTCAGTCTGGCCCCCCCTCAGTCTCTGCCTCCCCCTCAGTCTGTCTCCTCAGTCTGGCTCTCTCTCCTTCCCTGGCCCGGGCCTCCCCTCAGTCTGGGCCTCCCCAGCCTGGCCTCAGTCTGGCCCCCCTCAGTCTGGCCTCCCTCAGTCTGGCCCCCCCTCAGTCTGGCCTCCCTCAGTCTGGCCTCCCTCAGTCTGTCCTCCCTCACTATATCCTCACTATCTCTTCACTCTCCGTCGTTGCTGGCTGGCGCTCTGTCATCGTTATATAGTGACAGCAGCAGTGTTGTGTGTGTTGATGATCTTGTTGGTGTCCTGTTAAGTCTTAGATGCCTGGGGGTTAGTTTAAATTAGGTTAGGTTAGGTTATCTTATCTTCAGGTCCTTGACAATACGTTCTGGGTAACCTCAAGATATAGGGGTTAGGTTAGGTTATCCACAGGACCTTGACAATACATACTGGTAACCTCAAGATATAGGGGTTAGGTTAGGTTATCCACAGGACCTTGACAATACATACTGGTAACCTCAAGATATAGGGGTTAGGTTAGGTTATCCACAGGACCTTGACAATACATACTGGTAACCTCAAGACGTAAAGATCAGGGAGCAAGTTACTGTGGAGCGCCGGAGTGTAAATAATGGTCAAAGTTTTCATGGGAGGAAACTTTGTCCCTGTCTTTAATTCTCCTATTATATAGACGACATATTGTACACTTTATTGGACGTGAAATTAAAACTATTTTAGAAGCAAGAGGTTGTAAGTTTTCTTATAAATAATATTAATAATTTATTTGCTTTTCATTTTCTTAATAACTTTTTTATTTATTATTTTTATTTTATTTTCCTTTTCATAATTACATTTTTATTATTTGAATTTTTTTGTATTTTGTATTTTATTCATTATTTATTCCTTGCTATATCCTCATATCGTAAGGGTTATTTTTAAAGGCAAAGTTATACTGTTCGTGACTCTTAATGATGTACTGTGGTGGTGTGGGAGGAGACTTAAGCTACAGAGGGGGATACAGGCTCATTAATATTCTACAAGTCGCCTTTCACTACACGACTCTGAGACACAATAATACCTACAATAAAAGATGATTGATCGCCAGCAAGTTTTATGGAGGTAAAGTTGGGTATTTTTTTAAGAATTTTTTTTTATGACAAATTGTGAGATATAGAGTTTAATACTAAGAAAAGGAATTAGATACTGTTTATATTTTGTTTATTTTGGTCTTATTATGTTATGTAGGTTATAAAAAATAATGATATATAGGTTAAAACACACACACACACACACCCACACACCGGTACCTCACAGCGAGTCTACGTATTGTCAAAATCCTGATCCTTTTGAATGCTAGACCAGCTTACTCATGCATACCGCTTTCCATATTTAAACATATTTCTCAAAGCGCACAGTAAAAAAAAAAACAGAAAAATCTATGAGAGGACAGACAAAGGCTGCGGGAACTATTGTATCTGTTCACAATACAATAATGATATAGACGGTAGCGAATACTTTGTCTGTTCAGAAACGACCATCTGTGTTTTATCTGTTTACACTATAATAATATTTTAATGTAGGAGTAAAAAATATGTAAACTATTATATCTGTTTACGGTATTAGTTTAATATTGTTTACTATAACCGCAAAATAGTGTAAACTCCCTTATCTGTTTACAATATTAGTTTACAATGGTTTGCTCCAAGCACAAGCGTAAGTGGGAACTGCTGTGTATGTGTTGGCAATATAATAATGATTTAGTGTAGCCACAGAGGCCGAGGAAACCATTATATGTGTCCAACGCCACAATACAAGGCGAGCCAGCCAGTGCCACACTCACTCGCAGTGGCGCAGCTGTCCGGAATTACCACGTTTAGTTCCGTGTTATTATATAGTTTATCTTGACGCGCCCTCTGTAGTCTGCATGAATAAAGATAAGTAATCGCATCAGGTGTTTCAACATTAATTTTCTTATAACTGGTAAAGTGAGAACGTATCTAAGTAGGTCGCTTGAACTACGATATAATGATGGAGGCTAAATTGGTTTCGAAATTGCGCTAAGATTCGATCAAATTTCACGTTCTCAATATTAGTTATAAGAAAATGTATGTCGTGTTAATACTTCTAAAATCAGGACCTTATGTTTATGTAATGTTTTATGAGGCGCTAAACATAATTGATTGACTGAAGTGTTCATTGTGTTACAGATTGTGTTGGTGTGGATGACGGCACGGTGGGCGATGACGAGGTGTTTCTATGTCCCACACACCAGTTCCTACCACAACAACAACAGCCACAACCAGAGAACCTACGTGATAGTCCCAACAACCTCCGCAAGATGGCTCCACCACAACAGGAACCACAACACTCCCAGCTAGAGCAGCCCAGCACACG